CCTTAATCAAAACAAATCAAATCCCTCAAAATTTGTTTACCAAATTAAATCTGCAATTTTTTTCTACCAAATCAAATTCCCCTAAACATCTCTCCTACCCATTTTTAACATTAAAACAAAATAAATTGGCAAACACCTCGGCTCCAAAAAAAAAACAACCGCCTCCTATGGTCTGTCAAACGCAAACCGCAAACTTAAAATATAACATACATTAATTAATCGACGATAAATCGGAATAAATCATTTTTTAAATTTAATGAAATATAATTTTAGAACATTGCAAGCATATATGATTAGGTCTTTTAAAAATAAAAATTAATAGTAACAAAATAAAACAAAGCATAAACTCATTTCTAATTAAAAGTCTAACTTTTTTTATTTAAAAAAATGAAAAAAAAAATGATTTTTGACTGAATTTTGCCACCAAAGTTTAAGCCGTCTCAGACCACCTAAAACAGCCTCACATGGAAAAATCGATTTTTCAAATCTTTACACTAAAATAGTTAAGGTTTTAGACTGCCTCCGTCTCGAAGATCGATTAATCGACCGTGTCGGTCGATTTTTAGCACACTGTCTACAATATCAGTACGTCACTCATACACAAAGACTTTCTACTCCATATAAGGAAATCATTTAATATTGTGTACAATTTTGGGCTCCAAGTGGTACGAATCCTTATATATTATGTTCAAACGTGTATTTAATCATCATTTATGTACTATATAATTAAAAATCAATAAATTAAAACATTAAAAAAAACATGTAGTATTGAAATTTACACTAATATGTATGTCTTGGGAACATCAAACGTGCTCGATCTAGCCGAATGTTAAATGTATCACTATTTATGGACATACGTTTCTTAATATCCTTAAATTGAATTTTTTGGAGTTTAAAATGACAAGTGTGTATATTGTATTCATTCAATTACGTGTTCTATAGAAAATGGTCATTTCTATCTACATCAATACCTTGTACTCAATATATATATATATATATATATATATATATATATATATATATATATATATATATATATAAAATTCAATTTCAAAGCATGTTAGGCTTAAAATGTTATAAATCCTTATTAATGATGATATACATAGATCACTTTAAGTAGTGGAGGTAGAAGGAACTGGGAGAGCAAAGTGGATCACTGCTCACGTGTTAGATGATCCTGAGATACCTGCGAACAGAGAACACGTGAACTAGGCCAGGGGTTGTTCCAGCGGAAACCCCTCCGACGTTCAAGTCAGACGTGTGGATAGTAGATATAGTTGATAGGATATGTTTTGTAGAATTGTCCATTTAATAGGGAATACTTTTAATAAATGAATTAAATCGTTATTTATACCTTTGTCGATTGGGGTGAGGTACTTCGTGCGCCCAACCGTATCTGAAGTGGTGATCGTTCGGCAGATGTCGAGGTGTCGGGATATCCTTTT